AAGGAAGAAACTCTGCTCTGTATTTTAGCAGTCCACTCCTGTATGATGGTACTGAGTAATTAGGGCCTCAGTAAAACTGCTGATATGCAGTAACACTACTGTGCATGAAAAAGGATTGTGAAAGAAAATTCCATATGTTGGACAACTTATTTGTTCCAGAAAAGGAATTACAAGCAATTGGTTGTATCTTAAGTACTTAATTGTGTCTCAAAAATTAAATTAAACCTTGTGTCCAAGTGAGTTCTCTTGAGTTTCCCTCAATGTGTACTACCATGGAGCAACACAATTAGGATGTAAAATTCAATAATTACATTTTTCAGAGGGCTGTATCTTGGTAGGCACTAATTTCATACAATTACTAGAAAAGAAACCTGTGTTGCTCCTTTCAAAGAATTCACAGTGCTTCAGAATAACTCAGGCCTTTTTTTTTTCCCAGATAGGCAGTCCTTGACTTGTTTGGAAGCTGAGAGGTTTTTCTTTTTTCTTTATGTACTACCTCTCTGAGTGGAAGAAGTTGTCTCTCCAGTTTCTACTAAGATCTGTGTGCATCTTTCCCACAAGATCCTGTCCTTGCTTGAGTGGTCCCAGCCTTGCACAGGATTCCTGGAATGGCTGTTTGCTTCTCTCACATGTCAACCACACATCTTCCCTCTGCCTCTTCTGTGCTTCAGAGTCTTTTCCATTAGCATCCTTAAGGAGCTACCTAATCTAGTCTTTGGGATTCTGCAGATCCTTCTTGTCAGACTCTTTTTATGGGTGTTGAGGAGAAGTTGCAGCACACTCTTCTTTCTCGGTTGTTTCTGGGTTTCTTCTGTGGTAAATGCCTTCAAAGAAGAAGGAAAGTTTTGCTTTGTATTAAACAAAAAAGATAAACTGGATGCAGTCCAAGCTTCAGCCTTGAAAATTTGACCCATTGTTTTAAGCCATTTGTTTTTAAATGCTTGGCTGTATCTTAGCCTTAATAATGGGCTTACCACTCTGCCTGTGATTTGAATGCCAAAGCAGGACACTAGCAGTAGAAGAGAAAACAGAGATAAAAAGCTGTACTGTTTCCAAGAGCAGAGACTGAGCTAATTACTAACTTGCCAAACTGATAAAGTGGCAATGAAGGCCTGAATGGCAGATCATAGTGTCAGCCTGCTGAAGTGTATCATGTGCAGATAAAAGTAAAATATGGTGTGTTACTGTCAGAAAAGATGTTTTAACTGGTATCTTAATAATGGCATGGAAGAGTTAATTCTGTTTTGCCAGAAGCGGTTTTGTGCGATTTCTGGCAGAGCAGTAAATGGAGTCAATTCCTTGTGCTAAAATAGCAACTGTTTAATTTAGTATGATTGTTTAAATTTAAAATCAGAAACAGCAAAAGCTGATTGTTACCTTAAATTTAATAAGAATTAATTGTGGGATAGCAAATCCTTATTAAGCTCAACTGGGATTTCAGAGTTTCTCCCAACCCTGTCTCCTTGCTTTGTCCTTCTCAGTCAATCCCCTGATTTTATAAAAAGCCTAAGTGCATCCTAAATCCATTTTGCACTCTTGTCTTTATTGCCTTGGCAGTTTACAATATAGCTCTTTTGTTTGCTTCGTCCCCTAAATTAAATTTCCTATGGACCATATCCTCAGCCGGCCTGAGGTATAGCTCTATCAACAACCATCACTCAGCTGATCCAGATGATCGAGCCCCATCCTATTAATCACTGGTCCTTTCCCCACCCCCTGCTTGCCCGGTGTTGGCAGTGTTCCTCTATCATCTGTTCACTCACTAATAACACGATTCAGCATTTATTGGGTTCTCTGCACATTCAGCAGCAAAGCTGCTATTGATTGCATGATGGGGAAGCAGAATCAACCCACATTCTGAGAGGTCTCTGCAAACTGCAATGCAGTTAATTCACTAATGGTTTATATTCGCTTTGCTCACTTCACAGCAGGGAGAACACGTTTTTGGGGGCAGGGAGAGCTGGTTCACATGACCGGTGCTGGGAGGACTCCAGCAAGGACACACCTTGGTTACTGTAAGGCTCATTGCCAAAAATTATACTGTCTGTGTTGCCTGATTGCACACACCAAATAAAAATACCAAAGTATTTTCAGCAGAAAGAGTGAATATGATCTCACTTCCACTATCTGCTTGCTTTCAAAGAAGAAAGCCATTCTAGATCTACTGTATTTTTAATGAAATACTACTCTAAAAGGGTAACAAAGTCATTAAAAAGCCCATATATTCTTTAAAGAACAGAATGGAATGACAGATTTGGCTCTAAACCAAAGTTAAGACTTTCAATTTTGAGGATTATTACTGGGGACTATAATGCTTTCCAAAGTCTCTTCTAGTATTTTGTCAATGACAACAGGCATTAAAATAACATAGAGTCACTATAAAACTTGGCATGTTGCTGCCTATATTTTGTTTAGGTTTTAAAATGATGGTGCTTTCAAAAAAATATATATTCTTCACAGGATTTAAAACATATTGTATATTAAAATGTCTTAATTAAAATATTTTCATCATTCCACTTTTTACAAATTTTGAAAGGTTCTGAAAAATACGCAAAATTCATCCATGCAATTTTAAGCAGTTTATTATCTTTTGTTTATTTATTTATTTTTTATTATTATCTGTACTTATTTTAAGGCGATTCTTTTAAAAGTGTTTTAAAGAGTTTAGTTTACAGCATTGGAGTTTAACACATAGTATATAGTCCAGTGTAAGAAAATGCATAATTACAGACGTAACTGACAGCAAAAGAATGGCATACAAAATACAGATACAAACACATATGCCAATTTCATCATCATTGGGATGTAAATACACACCATGGGACACAACCTGAGCTTAATTTGCTAATACTGTCTAAAAAGCAAAAAGCAGTAAGAAATCAAGGAAGTAGTGTGTGGTGCTTTATTTCCTCCTCAGCTAAACTACTTCTCCTTGAAATAAGCAAGATAAAAATGTTCATTTTCCTTGATTCACATTTTGGAGCATGGGTTGGCTCTGTTCCCCACTGTAAGAACAGCTTTACCAGTTTAACATTCATACCACATAGGCTCTTAATCCTGTGCAGATTTAAGTGCAGGGCCAGCCTAATTCACATAGTGCCCTGTTTACTTCAGCACTTGTTCTCTGCATCTGAAATAGCAGTAACACACAGTCCTTATTTTCATGGTCATTATTTTTGAGTAACCATTGATATCACAAATCGATGTTTTGACAAAACTAATCTTTTTGCAGTTCCCTGAACGCCAATTTTTTAATCCAAATCTATTTGAAGACTTGATATGGCTTTTTAATACAAGTAAATCAAATTTAAATGAAGTAGCAGCTAAGAATTTTGGGGGAATTTCTGGTAAATGGACCAGGGAACCCATGATCTCCTCATTAGCTGGGACTTCCTCCTGGGCAGTCCATCAAGATTCCCCTCAAAAGCACACTGTCATTCTCTTCTCCCTTCTGAGTACCTCTTTCAGGATCTCATCCTAACATGCAATGCTCCACACCACCCTGTCCCAGCTGCTGCCTAAATCTCATTTCATTCTGTGCTTTGCCCCTTTGCCTTCTATTTCTCACTGTCCCCTCCTCTTGCCTGGCTGAAACAGAAGAGCTGGGTGTGGAGTAGCACTGGGTGACTTGGCTTTTCACAAGGATGATGTGCTGCTTTGGATCTGACAGTGAGGCTGAAGGACTTGCACGTGCAGAGCACTGCTGGGAGGGTGAGATGAAGCTGGGTAAAGGAGAAAGCATTGCACAACAGAGGTACAGTTAATGAACCACATAGAAGAAGTATTTACAAGTCCCACTAATCCCCTCAGTAAAGAAAAAAAAATGTCATACTCCTCCAGGAGTAAATTTCAGCCCCAGACACGTCCAAATGTATGGTTATTTCTTACAGGTATTCCACACAAAGCATCCATCAGGTCCCTTGGCAGCTTCAGTAATTCAAACAGCTGCATAGTTAGGAGCCCAGAAGTATGGAATTCCTGTACTTCACACTGCTCCCAAGCATTTGTCAATTGAAAAGCATTTAGCCTAGTTTATTTCAGAGCAAATGTTTCCCTTTGCTCCCCAAACACATGGTACTCTTCAGATCTGAAGGGCCAGAAATTCTGCAGAGCAGAAGGCTGTAATCACAGTAGCAGGGGGAGAGGAGCCAGGCTCAGGCTCTGAAACCAGCATCAGTGTGATATGCCTTCCACCTGCCACGTGAAGCACTGGATTCCTCACCTCATAAAATCAAGACTTAAACTTTGAAGGATGCAAATGTGATGCCCAGCTATGACAAGGGACAGTATTTGCAAGAGAATGTGGAGTATAAGCTTCCTGGAACCGATAAAGGAGTATCTCTGGCACCAGCAAATAGAACTGCTGAGGAGCCTCTGGTTTGCTGCATTTTTCTGAGATGCAGAATGGATAAAAAACCAAAATCTTTTCCCACCTAGACTTCTTCTATTGACCTATATACTAAAAGTTCTCCAAAAATAGAGAGGTGTCTAAATTGTAAGGAATAAATTGCATGTATTGATAATTCTGAATATAGTAAGCTACTTTGAATACAAACAAAACTGTGTTGTTAATATGAGCCTTAAATGCTTCAAGACCTTAACAAATCACCTAATGGAAACACCAAGGATCCATTGTCTCACAGGAGTTAAACTCCTTTCTTCAACTAAGAATCTATTCCATTGACTTTCAGCTCTTACTTTAAAAAAAAATTTGCATGCATTTTTTTCTCCGTAATATGAGTTGTATTTTCCTGAGTATTGAAAGCAGCTGAGAAGCAGAGAGAATAGGGTCTTTAGAATACCTTTTTCACAGGTTCACACACTGTCTGAATCACATTTGCAGGAGGGTGTCAGCCTTTCACACACAGCTAGAAGATGTCTGTGCTGCCATGAGAAATCTGTACTGCCAAATGCCTCATGACTGTCATAGTCCATCACAATACTTACTCGGGTAATTATTTTTATTATGGAAATTATTTTCTTTGCCTTTTCTGCTTTAGGCTCTTCAGACATACCAGACTGATCCTGACATGAGAAAGATGCTAACTCAGCTGTATTTCTATATCATGCCTGTATTTAATGTGGATGGATATCATTTCAGCTGGACACATGTAAGTAATGGCAGTAGTATTATTCAAAAAATTATTCAGACAAGAAAGATCAAGTGGTTATTACATTATTGAAAGGTGACTGTATAAATCTGGTCCAGCACTTTGTGCCTTGCAAAATGGAAGTAAATTACTCCACTTAAAATACTGAATATGTTTACCAGGGTTGATTTGTTACGTGTACAAATAGATTTTTGCCAAAATAGAGTAATATTGCTATTTAAATATTTTGTAACTTATGCTAGGATCGATTTTGGAGAAAAACAAGATCAAAGAACATGAGGTTTCACTGTCACGGTGTTGATGCTAATCGCAACTGGAAAGTGAAATGGTGTGGTAAGTATGGAGATACCTTGGTCCCCCAGTTCAGATTACCCTGTATTAATTATCCAACAGAGGTAATTATCCAAGTAGGTTAGATCACATCTGTTCTGAAGTGCTCTCTTTTCCATAGTTGAAGTTGAAGATTTTTTCCCATAAAGCCATTAGCCAAGGCTCAAATCTTCCTACTAGCTTCTAAAAAGAAATAAAAGTTCTCAACCTTGGAGAAACATATTATCATCAGTAAATACTTTTCATGGAGAATGTGGCAAAATTTTTAAAATCACACATACAACTATTCTGTATTTCGGCAATCATGTAAATAATTTGAAGCATAGCATCGAGAATGAACCATGAATTTTCAAGATTTACGTAACTGCAGCTTCAGGAAACATTTCAAGCTTCATTTTATTCAATCCGCCATTTCTCTGAAATTATTTTACCTTTGGAAATGTCAGACTTATTTTGCTGGCCTCCATGTCCTTAAGGCCATTATTATTAGTGATTTAATAAAGAAAGAAGGTGCTTCTAAATGCATGGAGACACAATTTTAAACTCCCAGCACTTCTGTAAGTACTTCATAAAAATTGGCCTGGATTTTGCATACAGAACATAAAATAATGAATAATGATATATAATAATGAAATAATTATAATATATAATAATGAAATAACTACCAGAAGATTTGGAATGCGTCCACCAAGAAAAAAAAAGGGTATTTTATTTAAATCTTACCTATAGTGCAATTCACACAGGGGTAAGCAGCCCCTAAAAGTTCTGGTTTAAGGAAGTAAGAACATTTAAATACAGCGATATATATCTGCTGACCTGCCCTCCCATCTTAAGGAACTTCCTCCATCTCTCTGTGCAGCTGTTTTCTCATCCAGCCTTAGTCCACCTTCCTTATTTATATTACAAACTTGTAAAGAAAAGAAATGGTGTTTGTGTAGTACAAGTGCCCTGCCTTCAGCCCATCCTTCTTCCTTTGGAAGTCTCGGGATGTTCCCATAATACTCTGATTGCGTGCAGTAGGGGTGAGCACCATACAGCCTGGCTTGCAACAGCTGGATTCTTTAAGTAGGGTTTTGAGAACTGTAAGGATAAAAGTGAATTGAACAGATGCATACATTCAATCCAGTATGCAACTATGAAAGCTGCTTCAAATTGTTTTCAGCTCTACCTGCTCTAAGGAGAGGACTGAGACAGAAGCAATTACAGAAAGCCTGTGTTAGTTGAGAAACCCTCTGATACAGAAGACAGGCCCACGGCTGATTATCATATCTTTAAGGCAATTTTATGCTGCAAAAATAACTTAAAAATGAACTAGTCCTGCATCACTGTTACTATTGTTTACTTAAGTGTGTAACCCACAACTGCAGGTATTTTTGGGGACACCCATTTACTGTTCAGAAGACAACCATTGGCATAACCGTAATGATCAGTTCTCTTATAGTGTGTTGAGAGATGTATGTTAGGTACCTATTAGTGCAAAATTAATACTCAGTGCATTTTCTTTCTAGTTCTAATTCAATTTTCTTGGACTCCTCCTCCTCCCTATTCCTGTTCCCTAGCCACTGTATTAAAACACATTTTTTAATCAGTCCTAAAAATGTTTGCTTAGTTTTCATTCAAAAACTATTTTTTCTAGTCTTAGTGAAACTGTAACAATACTCACACATGTTGTGTGTTGTAATTTCCTACTTGTTTCATTTCTCCCCTGCACTGAACATGAAAGACAGGTTCCCATCCCAAGTTTAAAAAATAAAAGTTCTTTCAAGTCTGCATGTCATCCCAACAAGCACACGCTCTGCTTCCTGCTTTGGACCCCAAAGTCTGTCCGATTGTCTATTTTGATGGAGAATAAAAAGGTCTTTCATGAACTGGGCTGACTGGTACTCGGATGACCCTAACCAGTCACCTGGTGCTCTCATTAATATCTGATATTAGATGAATCAGAGAAGAATCTGGATCATATCACACTTTGAGGCTGGTGTAATCATGGTATGTTTAACATTTAAAACTGCATGTGCTTGTAAAACCTTTTCATTCAGTTCAGTTGCACTTAGAGTTTTCAGACAGGCTTGAACTTCACAGTGGGGCTTCCAGGCAGGTGTGCTGTGGCAGAGACTGGCCTCAGCAAAGCTGCCAAATGCTATCAGCAGTGAGCTAGTCAGTGCTGATAACACAGCATCCCATCTGCTTCCCTCTTCCTTTCTAGTGTAGGACTTTGATGTAAGCTTTGTGACTCTCTAGGGACCAAGCAAAGGGCCATACCACTGTAGATTTCATGTTGCAGCAACCTGTGCTCAAAACAGTGCACACAAATTGCACACAGACCCACATGGATACTGGCAGCAAGAACTCTGGGCAGAAATGCTCCTTGCAATGCACATACATGTGCAATAACTAGCACAATGGTTTAATGATAATGGAATAATAGCAACTTTAAAGCAAATAATGAGGTACTTAGAATAAATTTAAGTCATAGGGCAAATCTAGTTAAAGTGGCTGCATCCAAATCCCCAAGAGAGCAACAGTGGGAGTTAAAATTTCCAGCACATCCCAATTTCCAGTGCACCCCAGTGCTCACTGAGGACAATATTCCCTAACTGGCAGAAGCGGCTGCAAGGACGTTTGAAAATCATGCTCCAGCTCATTCATCCCCTCAGTCTTCCTTCTGTACCAAAGCGCTGGCTTTATCAGTCTTGGCACACATTTCCTGTGTTCATTGGATCTCATGATGGATGTTAGAGGATACTTGTCCTCCCTAGTATGCTATAAGGTACAAAAATGAGGCAGCATGGTAACATTTCACACATTTCCATTTGCTTCTCATGACTGTAAATTAGAAATGTCACAGCAGTTGATACATACTGTATTGACTCTTTTTTCATTCTTGAGTTACTTTAAAAGAACTTCCAGTATGAAAATTGAGCATATCCTTACATTATCCAAGGCCATGGAAACCTCTTTTTATTACCAGCCAGCTTCACTTAAGTTAAAGCATTAACTACATCTGGGATGGCACATGGCTCACCATAATAGGCTGCACAGTTTAGAGAGTTTTTTTCCCTTCCCTGGAAGTCTCTAAACTGACCCATATTTTACCATTGGGTCATTTTAGCATTAGTTTGTAGGAATCCACTGTTTATTAACAGTGTTATCCATTGCCATGATTCAGTATACAACACTGAAACAGGAGATGAAGTATCCATTAAAAAAAAAAAAGCTCTGGAGACTATTAAATAGCTCTCCTGTAGCTATATTATCTGAAAAGAAATCGAGGCAGAGTGCTCTTGGGATTTGGATGACTTGGTGGCCATCTGTTCTGCATGGGGAAGACCATCTGCCCTTTCTATAACCCTTCCATATCCACTGTGATCCAAGCACTAATACCTTTTGAAATCCCCACCTGTGGCCATTGAATGGTAGCCTCAATTTTCATCTTACAAATGAAACTGCAGCATGAAATTCTCCCACTTTTTTTTTTTTTTTTTTTTGGCATTAGGTTGATTGCATAACCCTGTTTTAGTTGATATCATTATGCCTTCTCACACACAGCTCTATTCTTATTAATTGAAGGTGGCAGTACTTACTATACAAAGGAAAGCTAATAAAACTCTGTTGTTGTAAGTCCCTGATGGCTCCAGGGAAGTTTGCAAACAAACTATTATTATTCTGCAGATCAATGAAGAAATGTGTGGTATTTTGAAATTGCAGCAGATAAAAGAGCAGAGTAGATTTGCATAAATATTGTTCTTTTAGGCCCAGGCCCTAAATTGTAAATGAGACAATGGCTTAGATCCAGAATTGCTAAATTATAAAGGAGCCACCACCACATCTCCTTTTCTAAGTTTCATCTTTCAGTACCTCAAGGGATATTATATATAGGCTGCTCTTGTGCAGCTTGCTGCCACCTGAGCAGGTTGACATAAAGATATCCTCAAAACTGAACCCCTGCCCCAAACTTGAAGCCAAGTTAGACCCTGTGCAAAATGAGGTGATTTCTATTTTAACTGACTGACCAGTCATCTCATGTGGCTATTCTTTTTTTTTTTTTCCATGAGGTTTGCAGGGGCAAAAGTAGGCACCACTATGATGTTTTTAAGATAATCCCTGTTGAGGTTGTCTACCTACCGTTGTAACCACCACTGTAGTAGGTAATACATTAAAAGCTGTAAAAGGCTAGATTTGTCCTGGGAGTGACTAATGAAAGAGGTATAGATCTTTGATTTCAAATAGACCAACTGAGACCCATCAACAGTTTTAATACTGAAACACTGTCATAAAATGTGTGGCTGATACAAAAAGCCAGGGAAGAAAATACAATGAAGTCAGGTTCTCCTTTCTTTAGTTGAAAAGTATGTATCCTCTGGAGAGAATCATGTGGAGTTGGCAATTGGGAGCTCAGGGTGCCTAGATGAACAAGCAGATTGCTGCACTGTGGTCCTCCAGGCTCATGCCCATCAGACACAAGAAAGCATTTGAATTTGTTTATTGCTTTTCATGCTTTTGCACATGGGCCAGAAGAGGTTGAGCCAGCAGCTGACCCTTGGAATCTCTCTGTGATTGCTCACTACCTACTTTCTCTTTCAATCTCTAGATGAAGGTGCTTCATTACACCCATGTGATGACACTTATTGTGGTCCTTTTCCCGAGTCTGAGCCTGAAGTAAAGGCTGTTGCTCATTTTCTTCGCAAACACCGCAAGCAAATAAAAGCCTATTTGTCCTTCCATGCATATGCACAGATGCTGCTGTACCCTTATTCCTACAAATATGCAACCATTCCAAACTTCAACTGTGTGGTAAGTACATTAAAACTTGGAGAATGTGCTCCTCTGCATATTTTTTGGTACATTTTGTTTTGAGAAGAGACTTGTTTCTTCAATACTTTGCACATATATAGTATTGAGCAGTACTTACTATGGATCCACTTGCAATCACATTTCTGGTTATATAACCTTCACTCACCATAAGTCAGTGGTAATTTGATTTAAATGGTATGCCATTAATATCATGCCTTTCATCCAGCAGTCCCTTTAAATTACTTTCTAGGATAAATCCCTAAGTTTTCATTAGAGTTATTATCATTTTATTTAATTAACTGTAATGGGAATTACATCGTTAGGTCCTTAGGCATCTATCTGAAATTCTGCCTCTTCATGCTCAGAACTGAAACACTAGGAGCACAAAGAAGATCATCTTCAATGCTATGAATAAAATAAAATTGAAACTGTTTATGTTTATCAATTCCAGGAGGAATCTCTTAAATTTCACCAAAATAAAAGCTTCAATTACACTATGTATCATTCAGGTCAGACATAGTGTTTTTAACCCTTTCAGACCAGCAGGTAATTAAAACCAGGATCTCCTGTATATAAGAAAAATAAATTAATAAGAGTACATTTTTTCATGTAAGCCTATTGATTCACAGATGAGTACATTTCATGTACTCCATGCTCATCCAAATGCAGAGCTATTCCCTCTGCTTGCAGTCTGAGTCTGTTTTAGCCAGCCTCCTGTTCATGAAACCCCCCTTATGGCTTATTCTCTGAGGGACACATGCTAAGCTTTGCTCTTTGTTTGCTCCTGCTCACAGACCCACATTGCACCAACCAGTCACAAGCCTCTTTCTTTCACTCTGAGTCCTGAGTAAAATTACATTTTCAATTTATCTCCCATTTGGCCTTGAAAGTTGCAGTGACTTTTAACTTGCTGGGTTCAGCTAGCTCACTTCAAAGGAGCTTAACTGCACCTTAGATTTATCCTTTGCAGAATAAATGATGTTGTCAGTCCCTGGGGCTTCACTGAAGTTTCACTCAGCTGCTCCCTCAGAAGGCTGCGCAGCCAGGACTCCACAAACTAAACTCTCTTTGTTAGCTTCATTTCTGTTGAGACTCTTAATTTTAGTAGCTACTAAACATCTAAACATTCTTCTGTCTGATGCCATTCCTGTGAAACAGAGCAAATTAGAAGTTAACTAAGCAGCCAGAGGAGCTAAAAATATGAGACTTGTGGGGACTGACCACTGAACCCTGTAATGACTGTGGATAAATTTATGACTATTTTTTATTCTACCTTCACACTCTTTTGGGGAATGACAATAGAAAGGAGTTCCCCAAGAGAATTGATGACTATTTAGTTAGAAAAAAAACATAGTCTGGGAATTTAAAATCATAGTTTCTTATTCCTTTGAAGATCAGCAGGTGCAAGCATATTTTTTTTTAAGAACAGACAACAGAGAAGAAGGTAAAGACAGTGTTAGGAAGAATCAACAACTTCTCTGCAAGTATATGATTATTGGGTATCTGACTAAAATATCCAGAGTAATATAAGGGAATGGCAGACAGTATAGATGGGAAATTCATTGTAAGGAGAAGGAAGACTTATCTGACAGTATTCACACACACTTGTATATTTTGTTGTTCCTGTTGCTTAAGGGATAATTCCAATCTGAGATGGGGTATAACTGCCTCTCAGCTGGTACACATTCTGCCTTTCCACCCATTGCTTTTAGACCAAAGGATCCCAGTTTTTGATGTTTAGCAGGTGTCCCTCAGATTTGCAAGACCTTGGATCAGGCTTCTCATTAGAGGGAGTGGAGCGCAGATGTAAAGGAACAAAAAAAGACCCTATTGTAAACAACTCCCATGGACAAATGGAAGCCAAATACAAATTCTAAATATATTGTCAGTGTTTGAACTTCATACTTCTTTTCCTGTGGTCGGTCAAAAACAAGAAGGAGGTTGAAATAGGAAGCTGAATTAATTTGCTGTTATTAATAAAGCTCATTATAGGGATCATAGTGAAAATTAAGAGAATACTTGTTAGTTATTTATTATTGTTTTAACAGTTGCCTACAGCCAAAGGTTCCATCACCTGGTGGCTAATAAATGTATAGTTTTTAATATTTAGAGTCTCAGAAATGATGACTTAGACTGAGGTTTCAGATTCTCCAGTTCTCTTGGAAATTGCAGTGAGCTGGAATGTGATAGATCTCTGTTTCCTGACACCAATGGAAGAAGCACTGTACATGGACTATGTACACTGGAAACCAGTAAGACCCCACATGCACAGCAGATAAATAGCTTTTGGTGCTAACAGTGGGCTATTATTAATTTTGAGCACAAGAAAGGCTGTTTCTGTCTGGGTCAGATCATTCTACCGAGCTGTCAGTTACCTTTTCAATTAAGGCGTTCAATTATTCAGAGCTGCTTTGAAACTGGAGAGCTGTGTACTGATCACAACATGCATATTCTGCTCTAATTTAGGCACAACTGTCTTATTAACACTCTCCTGAAATCTGTTTTTTAAGATGCTTTAAATGAAAGTACTCTTTTAGATTGAAAGAAAACACCAGCAGAAACACACATCCATCTTAAGAGTTTTAAATTTCACCTGATTTTCATCCTTTTACTTCCTGTACTGTCATTTGCCTTAGTGTTTGCAGTGAATTTATATGGCATGACTGAGTTTGTGTACATCTTTGCAAAAATCTGGTAATTTTATGTGGCAGTTTCTCCTTGAGGGTGTTCAAAGACTGGTTGCCTGGATTTATTCAGGATCCAACCTGCACAGCACGATGCAGTTGAGAACTGTCCCTTTTTTGGGCGCGTGGCTCTAACAGTGGAAGCCAGCTGCATTCCTCAAGGCTAAGATCTTCAAGTTCACAGTGCCCAGGGATGCGTGCCCATGTGGTGGACATGGACCTGGGATGCTCCTGGTCTGACTTCCAGATAGTTTCTTCCTCTGCACAGAACCCATGACTGTTGTGCTGATTTTAAATGGGCATTGCCAAACTATTTCTTCAAAAGATTTCAGCAGGGTTTTCTGTTGCTTCATTGCTGTACAGTGCGTAACTCATGCACAGGGAGTCTTCTCATTCATTCTCCTTGCCATGGCACATTAATCAGGACTTTGTTCTCCACCTCTCTCAGCTCCTCCAGCTGAGTCCTGCCTCCTGCTCCCTTGGCCTCAGACCTCTTGTCAGGCCATCCCAGCTCCTCATCAAGACCCTGGGATAGTAAGCACAGCTGCTTGCAAATTTTGGCTGAGCAACAGTCTTGTATTTGGGACAGTGCAGGCACCAGATAACAGCACCTGGCTGCAGCTGGAGCTCTCCCTTCCCAGGCCCTGTGCAGCCACAGCCACCATGGTGACCTCACACTGCCACCCCGCCACGCTCACAGGGTCCAACAGCTCCAACCCCATCACAGGTCTGCATGTCACAACTCAGAAGTCACAGCATCTGGAGGAAGAGTGCCAAGTGACAGCACTTCTCCCTTTGATTGGCCCTTCTCATCTTTGGTGTTAGGGTGAGTCAAAGGTTATCCCTTACACTGGCTGACAACCACATCCCAGCCCCGCAGAAGTTCCAGCAACACTGAGTTAAGCAGTCCTTGCCTCCACACACTCGCTCATGGAGGTGGCAATAGGTGAAGCTGAAAAGGTCAGAGTGTCCAGCACCATTGTCCTTCTGCTAAACAAACAAAAATTCTGGTTGTGTCTAACAAATTTTTGTGATGGAGTAAAAATGTGCTCTTTCGTTTGCTAAGAGGAGTTACTGTGTAAAATAAGCTTTCCAAAGCCCTATCTGCACATCTGAAAGCAAAAACGAGCTCATTTTTGTTTCTGCAATGACATTTAAAGCAGTTTCCTCTGGCTTGTCTACTCAGACAGACAAAGCCTGCATGGGTCAGACCAAGGATTAAGTCAGAATCCCAACTCCTGACAAAGGTAAACAAGTGGAAGGTTAGGAAAAACATATAAACAGAAAGGCAAGTGTAGGCTAATTTTTCCCAATGTATTCAATTAGTGCTTGATGAATAACAAGGTAAGGACTGAGCTCATGAAAACTTGCATAAACCAAACAAACCTTCTGTTCAAGGAAATAAAACAACTAAAACAACCATTGCAGCTTCACACAGTGGTTCAAAGTCCAGAGTTTCTAGCTCTAAAGATAATAATTTCCTTTTCTCTGTAGAGAGATGACTGTGCTTTCCCAGCCTTCATTGTATATTTGCCAATATCCTTTTATTTGGGGTAATATTCCTTTTCCTTTTCAATATATGCTTCATTTCAGTGTGTTTTGATGCACTATCCATACGTAACTCTCAGAATTTTCCATGGGCCAGGCCTTCTGCACAGTTTCACAGGATGAACCATGAACCTCCTAAATAGCCTTTCAGCCACAAGCTGTTGTAATGTAGGCACTGATCTTCCCTGTACAGGACTGAAATCACATTTCTGAAATAGTGGAAAGAGCTCTCCAAGACTACATCATCAGACCCCAGAGAAAGTTAGACCAGCAGTGAACATTTACCTGCTGATCAGAGATTCAGGAGTGGAATTTGTCTCCCTTCTTCCCACTCTGCTCACTGAACCACTGTGAGTGTTAAGAAGACATCATTTCTCCTTCACAAGCCCAGCAGAGACAAGGTTTAGTGAACTGGGAGATTCATCTTCAGAAAATGCATGCATGGCTTTTAAACTGCATTAAAAAAAGAGATTATTTCATCTCATGGTCTTACATGTCATCTAAATTTGTCATGTCACTAAATTGACATACATACCTATAATTACAAATACTAAAAGTCAGATCATCCATAGTGCAGTGAGCTCTTTTATGCCATGAAAATACCAAACCAAGTTTTTCAGGGAATTGCTGTCACTAAAAATAAATTATGCATTTATCCTTTACAATCATTTTAACTTAGCTGCCAAAGACTCATGGAACACAGCATTGCACTGGTGGTCAATGATCCGTTGACTTAGGTTCCAATCACAATACAATATTTAATTCAAAGTCTAATTTATGTATTTGATATTTTTCTCCTCACCAGGAATCAGCAGCCTATAATGCTGTTAACGCTCTTCAGTCAGCCTATGGTGTAAGATACAGATACGGCCCTGCATCCAGCACTTTGTGTAAGTTTCCCTCTGCAGGTTTGTGACTTTGACCTTCCTACAGTAAGAAGGAGAATACCCTTATTATAACAAAGAATGCAAACACTACTTCAAGTGAACTTTGTTCCAGCTTTGGGTTGTGAGGAACACAGAAGAAAGTTTTGCAACTGATTCGGTCAGTTGATTGCAGTAAGATTAACTCAACTGATGCAATAAAAGAGATTAAAATGCAATGCACTTGAGACTCAAAAGCCAGCAAATAACATATTCATCTTATATAAAACTGTGGGGTTTTTAAAAAAGAAAAACTGAGGTCTTAAAAACCTTATCTTTATCAGGTACTGCAAATGCACTACTAAGTTGTGACAGCATTTCTCAGGCAAGCTGTCTGTAGAGAGGTAAAAGAAAAAGAAGTTCAACAGGTCTTAACAAGACACCTTTTTTCTTTACTGAAATCTTGAGGTCTGACTGCTGTGGCTAGTGATAACAGATACTGAAAAAGTGAAAAGCTAAAACTTTTCACAAGTAACCTCCTGCATTTCCTCTGCCATTGCTGTGTTTCAGCTACAGTTCCACTTGTCATGGGCCTCCATCTCACAGCATAGTCATCATCTTGTGCTCATTACACTGCAATCAGTCACTATGTCAAAGGAAAAGCAGTGTGAATTAATGCCAGAATTGCACAGATTACAGCAGGCCACATGACGGATTTATCTGTATAAAAAAGTGTGTCTTAAGTAATCAACATAAGGAGATAACGAAAGTGTAAGCAGCACACTTCCTCAGGAAGGTCTGTTAATATTAGACACCATCTATGCAAATGCTCTCATGCTGTGGGGAAATGGTGAGAAAGTAAGACAAATTAAAAGAATTTTAAAAGCATTTTAAAAAGAAGATGGCAGATTACTTTATCAACTTTCCCCCTTCTCACTGCAAATGAATTGCCTAAAAAACCCAATTTAAACCTAGGAGCATGCAGAGCTCTCCAGTCCAGCTGGGAGATCTTCGTGGAAGGCAAGCTTTAGACTGTGCTCACATGGAGACAAGAACAGTTTGAGGCTTTATTCTAGATACTCTCATTTATTAAAGTTTTGCCTTACACAAAACAGTTAAAATATTTTTTCCTATGAAAATGAAGGGTCTAATCCATATTGTGCTGAGCACATTTCACCAGGTGTTGGGTGCTCATTCTATTCTCTGTAGGGTGTTCAGGATCAGGACAAGCAACAGCTGAAGCTGCAAGTGTACTCACTGAGTCCCAGAGACAAAATGCCACAAGAACCCTCTGGTGATTTCAGCATGACCTGCATTTAACATTTTTTAATGCTTTCTCTGAATTGTCTCTTCCAGATGTGAGTTCTGGCAGCTCTATGGACTGGGCCTACAAAAATGGCATCCCATATGCATTTGCATTCGAGCTGCGTGACACTGGCCATTTTGGATTTTTGCTTCCCGAAATGCTGATCAAACCAACTTGCACAGAGACCATGCTTGCAGTTAAAAATATAACTCTACATTTGCTGAAGAAATGTCATTAAGATGGATTTCTAGGAGCTGGAAGTAAATGTTTTACTCTTAGCACTGATGCCTTTCAGTGTGTTCAGTTTCCATTCTAAGTTTTGCCACTTCAGAATTCTAGAAGCTAATGGGAAATGTGATATTGTTTCTGCCAAATTAACTTAGTGGAGAAAGGAAAAAAATCATTCAATATCTGCTCTTCTAAAGTCCATAAAGTTGGTATACTAACTTAGTTACTAGTTTGGTGCAAAATAATTTCTTCTTTTTGCAATATAACTTTAATTTTGCAATTTCAGTGAGGCCAGTCCTAAAATAAAGTGCCACTTCCAGGCATTTCTGGGCCTTACACCTTTCCTTAACATGAAGACTTCCCATGGGGTCTCTCGAACCAAGGGATAAAGTTTACATTCATGTAAATATACCCTGTGACCCAGCACAGGTCTGTATCTACAGCAATAAATGCCTTATAGTGGTAGCTGGCTACACTGCAAGTGGCTATGTGGTTTCCTTCTGTGTGTATAGGTACATACATACATATATGCACTTTCGTGATTTTTTTTTTTCATATTATGCAATAATTTGAACCAAGGTTTCTTTTAACTGTTCAGAGAAATCTACTTTCAAATGTATATAACTGGAGTGGACTCAAAATCTCCATGTTGTCTTTGAAAATGTAACTTTCCTAGTGACGTGTAAGAATTATAATGAAATACTATTGAGGTAGACAATATTCTGCTTTATGGAGAGACAAAGCAACTTGCCATGACTTGGAACTTGAAGCTGGCAGTCGACTGGTGCATCTGTAGACAGTGACTGCCCATTTCCACCAGCCAAGGATTTAGCCTTAAACTGTAATAAACTGTAATTAACTGATGTTTTATTTATCTATATTCTTGCAGTGAGTTCCGTGGCTCTTTGGCTGTGTGGCTCTTCTTCCTGGAAGTTGTATTTTTTTGCATGTTTTAAAGGAATTAATAAATTTTTAATGGATTCTTAAGTGAGCCAGAGGTGAAGGTAGAAGCCTTACAGCTGAAATAAAGTGAATAAGCACCATGTTTGAAAGAATAAAGAAAGCAAAGAGAAGATAACAACATGTCAAGGGATTTTTAGTACTTTTAAAATACCATTTTTTAAATCTTATTGTATCTGCAGAAGCGTATATTTTATGAATTTTGAATTTAATCTTATGCCACTACATGTTAACTAAAATGTATTTGTTAATAAAATTGTCAAAGACTCTTGAAGTATTCTTCATATTTTATTTAAGTTTTAAAACTCTAGTTCAAGTATGTAACAATTGTACCTATCTGCAAAACATTCCTGATGCTAAAGATGGGGAATTTAATAAACACTTGAACTTAGCAAATGGGCAATCTTTACAAGTCTTATAAGGGAAGTACTGTATTTAATTAAGAATATCGTTTTCAGGACTGCAAAAGGCAATCAGTGAGCAAAGATGACAGAATTGCATTCTATTTGTCTAACATTTTGTAAATAAATGTGTTTATTTTAAGGCTTGTCCAGATTTGTTTAATTCAGTTTTGTAAGTTTCTGTTCTGGTTTATTAAATGTTTAGGGGACAGAAGCCCTCAAAATAGTAATTTCCAATTGCTTATGACCATAACTATTAAATAATTTGAAGACAGCAATAACTGTCTTTTGCTATGCACAGATTCTTGACCAATGGCCTTGATGGTGGTATAAATGCTTAGCACCAATTATTAGGTGTTATTCTGAATTTAGGTGACAAGATTGAACTTACTACAAAGACATAAGAGACTGAAGAAGAGAATAAGTGAGGGATGTCTAATTAGCATGAGGCAAATTTACCTCTGAATTGCTACAGTACAAGCATGGACCAGGAGCAACCAGATTCTTACGTGATGGTTTGATTCCTGCTTGCAGTCCAATAGTTCATCATGTGAAATATTTCAGCTTTATCTTCATGCTATTATAACTCCACTGGTAATGAAAAGTAATTGAACTCTTGGAACAAGAAAGGGAAACAAATAAATATCTTAGGTACCAAAAGGACCTAACATTTTAGACCTAGTTGACATTCTTGGACATTAATAACTGCAAGTATTCTTAGATTTATCTAAGAAGCTTTGACATCTAGAAGTACTTGATGTCAAACCCTTTCCACGAATAAAGCTATACACTAGTATATGGATGGACTCTGCTTGAATACTATGTATGACATGCATATGTATGACTCTGAGCTGAGTTTTGAAGACCTGTGCAGTGTAACTTAATGCTCCATAGCTGAATACAAGTGTAAATAGTCTCTGAGCCCTTTAATTTCAGGGTCATTAAAGCTGGTGGAAAGACAGTCGCTAGGAAAGAACAGAATTACATTTTTGTAAGATAATTTTTCAGCAAAAGAGTGATTTTAAATGGAGTAGTTTACCAAAAGGAAAAGACTAATGGCAACCAGCTATTTGGATATGAAATCATATATCTTTTGTGACTTATAAATGCTACTTCTCAAGAACAGCTCCTTTTTATTTCTATAATTGCTTGCTTCTCTTCCCTTTGTAATTTTCAGCAATTTTTATTGACAACAGAATTGAAAGTTTTTTTTTAGAAAAGTGAATTTATTTTATGAACATAGGTACAGTTTATCATTCAACACAATAAAAAGTACATGAACAGCAAAACCCTGTTTAGAAACCCAGCAGTCAGAACTCCAGAAGTTATACTTCCACTGATTATTGATAGAATAATTACAACCACTTCTGTAACTTGGAAAACAACATTGTTCTTTTTTTAATAGCTTTTAATTTTTATAAACAAACCTCTTAGACTAATTAATAGGAAGGAAAGAGTCCATGCCTCTTCAAGTCACCCTTCCCAAAGACAAGCATCACAAATTACATTAAATTATCATTCACAAATTGATGAAAAATTGCCTTTAGAGGTCAAAAAAGTATAGAGCTTTGTTTCAAACCTTGAACAAAGACTACTGCTGATGGGTGAAGCTGCCTGTGTATTTTCCAGAAGTTGCTTCAGAAAGGTCAGCATCTTTGGTCACTTGTAACATATAAAGCCCATGGAAGACTGCAATTGCTTTCTGAGAGCTGCAATACCTTTTCCAAAATTTGAATTGGAAGAGTCCAAATGACCTTGAATGCCAACATGCATTTTTATCCACAGCCAGTCTGCTTGTCCATGGGAAACAGTGTTGTGCAGATTGAGCTACTCAAGAACTGCACAAAATAGCCATTGATGGAAAACACTGTATCTACTTCTTAATGCTGCGAAGAAAGCTTTGTATTTCCTACGAAAAATAAGTGAATATTCAGCTACTCCAGTTTATTTCTGTTAAACAATCCCTTCACTTTTTATACTTACGTTCATTTTAATGGCACCAATCAAAGAAAAAGATACTTGGTAGTATAGGTAGAGTAATAAGTACTTTTGTAAACACTTTGATCTTTCCTTTGGTTGTGCAAAACTACTACATCATTTCCATAGTTCACTGTTTTGAAGCAGTCACATTCAGTCTCACACATGTATTCGTGTTTTTGAATTCTGTGCCTAAAAGTCACATATTACCATCTTCAAGAAGTTCTTCAGTGATGGTAACACACCAGAACAATATCTCAGATGCACAGAGATACAACTATCACTCTGCTGGAGAAAACAGAATAAGAGAACAGAAATTTAAATAAATTACATAAGGACTTTTTAAACATAAACACTGTGGCATTAGGTATACTTCTTAAAAAGCATTTTTAAATGCTCACAACACAAAATAATTTGTAAATTTGTTTAAAATAATTTGGAAAATTTAAAAGTCTTCTGTCCACAGAAAATGTAGATTATTTGCCAGGTGCTTAATGTATGCCTGACTCTCATAATTATTCAAGATAAAATATTCAGGTCCAAACAGCTGTAATTGCCTTCTCCTTAATTGTGTAGGAGGGAAGCTGTGCGTGGAGAGAGCTGCCTCCTGAGTGACTTCATCAATAGATTTTCCAGCCTTGTCAGCATCACCAAGTCAGGAGTACTGATGCTGTTGGTGGGTCTATCTTGGAGGAAGTGGAACAACTTCAGAGTGATTTTCACTCTTCTTGGCTGAACATGCCTGTTGTCCCAGTCATGATGTGCTGGTTGAGCAGCTTGTCAGAAATTCACAGCCTTAGGCTCTCGGTGTCAAAAAGGCCTGCCTTAACAACAAGGTCTTCTGTTAACATCTGCAAGTTTAAAAACTAGCAATGAGATAACACATGATTCTCCTTAGAAAACAAAGACATTGAGAACTGGGAAATCTTTAGTCCCTGAATTCTTGTCCTTGCCTGACAGGCAGGAGCAGTCAAACATAAAGTCTCAGGTCTCTCCACTTGTAAGGTAGAGGTCCTTTCAAGCCCTCTTGTGAGAGACCGCATCAAGTACAGCAGGGCTTGCCCTTGGATTCAGACATCAGGGAATGCACTCATAAATAATAGATTCAAATGTTAATTAAAAAAATCTGCCACTGTCCCCAGCCATGCAGAAAGCACACTTTGCCCGTGACAAGGAAAATCCATCCATCACCATAAAAATGTGGGGTAATATATCCCATCAGTCCTGCCTGCTCCGAAAGTCCAGCTACTTTAGCACTGCTTTGCCTTTTTGAAAAAGACATGTGGCAGAATACTCGTAACAATGAAATATTTTAAGCTACCCCCAGGCATGCAGGAGTATATATTTTTTATAAAATAATACATAACAGCTTCTGAAATAAATATTGCGGTATGACTGGGAACAGAGGTGTTTTAGTCTTTTTTGCTGACTATGATGTGCCAGGCTATTCCTCTGCATAGCAGGATTGGATCAATGCTGGGAGGAGTGTCTATTTTTTCCAATTAATGAATCTTTTTTTCCAATTCTGAGCAGAATAACAAGTTAGGCCTGAAAATACATACACACAAAGGAGTCAGATAAAGCTGTATTTTAAAAACGGGATTTTCAATTTTCCTGAAAATAATGCAGCTGTTAAAATCATAGCCATAGTTTACAGGTAGCTTATTGTTTTGATCATGTCATAACTGAAAAAAAAACATTTATAGCTTGAAAGCTAAGAAGAGATGACTGATCTACTCACTGTTTCATTTCCCTCGTTTCATTTTGCTTTGTTTCTAGATTGAGAAAAATCTGTTGATTGGGCTGAATTGATGGAGTGCAGTCAAAAAGCTGAGTGTAAAGGATTTTTCTGTGCCTAATGAGCTAGAAATAGCTATTTAAAAAAAAAGTAGCTTTGTCTATTTTAAGTTCTTTATACAGACTAATTGCTTTACGCTGTTTGAATTAAATTATCACAATCACAGAGATGGTTTGGAAAGATTTATTATTTTGTTGTGAGCCAGCCAGTTTTCTAAGGGTTAAAATAGTGACATGCCTACTAGTGTAGGAGAACCAGAGCTGGTCTTTGGCCTTGATAGCACAGAATCTGTATTTGAGCCTTCTCTAACAAGACAAATTTGCTCTATCATGCTGCATGCACCTCAATTTTTCTCCCTCCATTTCAGAAAAGAAGTGAATACTGTCTGTTGGTGACAATTTCAGGCTATAAAAGAGTCTAACTTTTGGTTAGGCTAAATTTAAAACATGAACCTGTTAACATGTGTGAACTTCCCCACATACCTACGCAGAGCCCTTCACACACAAACACTGTGTCTGGCTGCACAATGTGTACTGTGTGATGGTTTATGTAATGGTGTAGCTGCAATTCTTGGCAACCACAGGGCTGCTGATGGCAGGCAGCATGTGTTCAGCATCTCTCCTCTGCCTGCTGGAAGCACACACAAGTTCAGCTTGTCTGGCCGGTTCCCTAAAAGCCCTTTGACACTATTTCACTGCTGCAACACAGGAAGTTCTCACTGTGTCTCCGTGGGTTACCTGCCACTACTGTTGACACACCATCTACAAGCTGCCCTTATGTGCCAAACACTTTGTGTGCTGCACCCTGCAGAGCTCATAGGTTGGATTTTGCCATTATGAACATTAGGGCAGAAGGCAGAGGCTGTGAGAGGCTGTTATGCCCCCTCCTCCAAATGTAGATTGCATCCCAGAAAGCTTTCGTTACCTGATTGTAATGAAGAAGGTCCTATACCATTGCCCAGAGTGAACAAAGGGGTGCTGAGATTGTGCCTGGAAAGTCTGGAAGTGTTAAGGAGAACACTGGAGAGCCTACAGGCCCATACTAACCAGCACCAGGATTTTTGGAATTGCTTTAGCCCATGAGCAATTCTT